TATTATTCTAACCTTCTATCAGTTTCGCCCTTTATAAATCCTTTGGCAGAATCAAATCCATGGAATTTATAATCTAATCTGATCAACACTACTGAATGCAGCCGAGCACGGCTGGTTTGTCCTATTGTGAGTTTGGTGGTAGTCTAGTGTGTGGACCAGCATAAGCCATTCTGTTCTCCAACTTTTGCAATTTAACTGGTAAAGGTAGTCAACTAAAGGTTGGAATACACTACACTACTTTTGTACAGATCTTTGCCTGGATTTGCGGTCTGGACGAGTTGATGCTAGCAGCCGAATTTCAGAGTCAGTCAACAGTCTGAGTTGACCATGTTCAAAGAAAATCGGGCAGTGTACGATGGACACAGACTCCAGTTTTTTAGCCTCCATCAGATCAGATGATATCAGAAATGTTTGATACTTTGAGCCGATTTTAGAGCTCATATTGTTTTAATTTGTCACATGTCGCCTAGCAGTGGGTCACGTTTTTGTGTGAGTTTGTTGTGTTCGGATTCGGTATGACTTAAAAGTCATAGTGTGTGTAACAATACGCCCACTGCCATAGTTCCATATTTTGAACGCTCAGTAGAAAATATAAGCATCTATTATTTATCATACTTACAGGTTGTGATTCGGTGGAGCCAGCTGGTCCAAATAAACTGGGAACTGAGCCATCTTTCAAGAGCAAGCGTTCTGTGAATCCCACGTTGATTAGAGAAGCAGTCGTCAGTAAAATGACAGGAACACAAAAAAAAGATTGGGGTTGTACTGCTGTGATTTTTAACCACTGATTCTTTACAGCCTCATCTTTCGGAAGTAAACAAATTTACTTTCACCGTGTAGGACACAGTGTCTTCTTGACATGATGTTACCCACATGAACAAGCTACAGTGTTTGAGGGCGGGTCAATTTCTTCGCGGCCAGACAACGTAGATCATTGGCGGGCATTATGCAAACCGTCAAGAAGTGGGATTTGAATTCCTGATGACTCGTTTAGGCTGTTCAGAGTCAATTATTTCTTTTGGGACACAATAACTTTATCGTGCACTTTCAGCTTTACAACTTTGCAGATAGTTTACATTTACATAAAGCTACATTACACACTACATGAAAGGCAATATTCCAAATGGCATAACAGGGGCAATTTAAAATGGTGTGTATTCCAGACTTTAGGAGGTCTTGCTGGTTAAGATTGTGAAGAAGTCTGATGGTGATATCAGTATCTGCTTTTTGGCAATGACCCCCAAAATTCTAACTCACTTCAATGGTTTTGTGGCTATTAGATATCCATTAGTTCCAATCGTTTTGTGCTCTTAATCGATATTTCTTTTTTTTTGTTTTGTTTATCCTTTCAGCGCCCAGCAGAGAAGCAGTCAGATGAATAAGAAGAAGGCTGCTGGCAACCAGGTAAGCACAAGTCAGAATGAACAGATGCTGTGTCCAGCATGCATCACACAGCCTGGACAGATGTTTGCTGCCTCACTCAAACATTACTTATGTAGGAACAGCAGACACAGGTCTATAATTGGACACGGCATCACTCAGTGTCTCTCATTTTATGAGATTTTAATTATTGAGAACTGTGGTGGGTGTTGTTTTGTAAAATGCTCTTTAAAGGTAATAAATAATTAGGAAGAGCTTGGTGGAGGTGCTTTGTCATCCACTGGCAAACATGGAGAGAGAAGCGATTGAATTAGAGAATTACTTGATCAGTTATTATATAACATCTAGATTGACCATGCAATTCAATCTAATGCATGTATCCTCCAGTATACCATGGATGGCTACATCCAAAATGTGAAGCTGAAGAAATGTATATGATGGAGAGGTTTCCGTCAAAATCAAAGCAAATGTGTATCGTCTTCTAAAAAGTGAGAAGCCTCATTTTTTGTTTAGCTTTTAAAACTATGCAGAGCAGAAAAACATATTTTTAGTCAAATGAATATAAAAAATATAAAACGTTTAATTAATAAGACAGTTTTATTAATTTATAAAACTTAAATATATATTCATAAAGATCATAAAGATTCATAAATATTTAAATAATAAATTATTTAAATAATTTTATATTGAATGTGAACTGTTTAATTGCAATGTGCATGACTGTTGCAAAAACAAAACAAACAAACAAACAAAAAACAGCATGATAGGTCTATTTTTATTTTGGACTGAATTTTAAGCATATATATATATCATGATATGTTGTTATTCATCATGATTATCATGAATTATCTTATAGCATGTTTTATTTAGTCACATTTAACAATCTTTTGTATGTCTTGTGTTAATGCTGTGAATTAGTTACTGAACTTAGCATTTTTCTGCTACTTTTGTATTCATGTATTCATCTTGTCTATTCTCACTACTGCATTTTCCAGTTTATAATTATCTATCTTAAACCCTGTCTTTGCTTTGCTACTGTTGCTATGGCAACGCACCTCAGGATGAGATAATGGTAAGTGTGCATTGACTGCGGCCTCTTTAGTGTGTGTGTGTGTGTCTGTGTGTGTCTGATTGAGTGTGTTTGTGTCTGCTAATTCACTTTGGCCTTTTAATATAAAATGGATTTGAAAAATAGCATTACAATTTGATTATTATGGTCCTAATTGTGGTGTATTTGTTTAAAACAAAAACACAAATAGCTTTTTTTAATTATTAATTAATCCTGACCTTTTCCGATAAAGTTGAGTGATTTCGCACAATGCCACTGCACTGGAGAAGCTGCTGGAAATCCGTTGCACTTCTGAGAGCTGTAGCTCATCTGTAAGAAACATGACGTTCATTTCTCAGAGAACAAATGTACTGAACAAATATAGCACACCTTAAATGCACTGTAGGTTATTTGGGGTAAAAAGAAGTCTTCCAGATGTAATGAAAGATGTAATGTTAAAAATTTTTTAACAAGTTCTCAACTTTTAATTGATATTTATTTGTTATAATATAACATTTTATTTGAAATCACACACACACACACACACACACACACACACACACACACGGGTAAAAAGAAGTCTTCCAGATGTAATGAAAGATGTAATGTTAAAAATGATTTTTTAACAAGTTCTCAACTTTTAATTGATATTTATTTGTTATAATATAAAACTTTATTTGAAATCACACACACACACACACACACACACACACACACTACTGTTCAAAAAATTGTTGTCTGTAAGATTTTTATATTTTTGAAAGTATTCTCTTAGGCTTATCAAGGCTGCATTTATTTGATAAAAATACAGTAAAAACAGCAATATTGCGAAATATTTTTAGAATTTAAAATAATGGTTTTCTGTATTAATTTATTTATTTTGTGGAAACCATGATACATTTTCATGATTCCTTGATAAAAAAATAAAATAAAAAAATTCTAAAGAACAGTATTTATTTGGTATCATTTAATTTCAGATCAATTTAATGATTAATTTAATTTAATCAATTAATTTAAACTCGAAATATTTTTAGAATTTAAAATAACGGTTTTCTGTATTAATTTATTTATTTTGTGGAAACTATGATACATTTTCATGATTCCTTGATAAAAAAATAAAAATAAAAAACATTCTAAAGAACAGTATTTATTTGGTATCATTTTATTTCAGATCAATTTAATGATTAATTTAATTTAATCAATTAATTTAAACTTTTTAACTGTAGAGTATGTGCAATTCAGCTAGTGGTCTCAGACTTTTGAACTCCACTGTATTAGCAAAGCTCTTTTGATTTGTTCTTCTGATAAATTCTACAATCACATACACATCATTTGCAAATTTATTAAATTGGGTTCTGGTGTACTTGATTCTGATTGGTCAATCACATCATTCTGTGTTCATAAATATTGCATAATGACTGTTAAACAGCACAAGTGGTTATTGTCCCAACTGATTTACATAACTGTGCAAGTTCATGTCTCTTGTATCATTCTTCTTTATTCTCACACTACTTTCAAATGATTTGTTGTCCATTTATTCATACATGTGATAAGTACAACAAAATATGACAGTCATTGTTCCCTACATTCCATGTTTCCCTGTGTTTAGGTGATCAGAAAGGGTTGGCTGACCATCAACAACATTGGCATCATGAAAGGAGGAGCGAAGGAATATTGGTTTGTCCTGACTGCTGAGAATCTGTCCTGGTACAAAGATGATGAGGTGAGTCCCCTCTGTTTCTTCTTGGTTGCTTTTCATTTAGCAATGCTTTTATCTGAAGCAACTCTCAGTATAATCTCTATAGTGCCGGTTGCCCTGGAGCAGCCTTTTTTTCTTTTCATATACACTGGGCTCTGTATTTTAGTATTATTTTCACCAGAAGTAAGGCTATATTTAGTCTGTTTCACAATGAAAGCATCTTATCCTACCAGTAACCCATGCTGTAAATACACTGCAACACTGGATCCAAGAAAAGAGAATTGAGATGGATGAGGTCATACAGTATAAATGAGTGCATTAGTTCTGTTTCTTATTTCAGTAATGGCCAGGCATTTTGCCGTCTTGGCAGTCTGATCAAGCACAGGTGTTACGGTACCGTTGTGACCCCCGCCCCACCCCCACTGTCAGTCCAGACCGGAGGCATGAGGAGAAGCAGACCAGGGGCTGGTGGGAGGGCTGCTCTGGGGGTTGGGAAGGTGGCATATGGTTTTCATTACCATACATACCAGATTTTGGTCCAACACTTCCCAAAAGCCCTCACTCTAGTTAGTTTAAGCATGCAGAGAAAGTCCTTTTAAAACAAAGGAGTTCCTGGTCTAAAATGGCTTACTGTTTAGAAAAAAATATCAATTTTGTATATAATTGTTTTTCATTTAATCTCCTCATTTTTATAAACCACAGTTATGTCCTGCTTATGCCAAAACAATTTCCTTGTGGTCCAAGTGGATGAAAAAGAGTCCAAACAATGACAATTATATACAGAGAAAAGACTTTTATTTTCCATCAAATCAGATATAAATATATCTATATCTATATATACATTTTTAAAATAAAAATATAAACAGAGGGAGAGAGAGAATTTTTTAAAACATTACTAAGCAAGTAAGCATTGTTTACTTAACTTAATTATTTGCATAACTTAATTGATGTTTCTGCTGAGGAGGTTCTGCTGAGGGAATGCTTTGTCAGATTTTGCTAACTTCGCTGTGTAATCCACTTCCCCAAAGACACTTAAATACACAGACATTACTTCGCACATGAAGGCATGCACATTTCCATGGACGTACAGAGACATGATGACGAGACTGTTGATGAACAGAACTAGTTGATGTGTGTGCACCCCCCACACAGCCTAACCAATGTGCAGACTACTGTACAATCTCTACGCCCTGAACAGGTAGTCTGAACACTGGGAAAGCGGGGCGGGCATGACGCTTCACGGGGAGATGAGATGAGTCCAACAGCACTAAGAAATGAATGTGTACAAAACATTAAAGATCATGACGTACAACATGTACATGCACATATTGTGTTAATTAACATATTTTTTTGTTTTTGTGAAAGCCACCACTCCCTTTCACATAAGCAAATGTTCTGTTTTCCAAATATTTTTTGGAAGTGAGCGTGGAAGAAAAGGAGATGAGAAAGTTAAAGTTTATTATTGAGCAATAATTTAGACTTAGCATGAAAATGCTGCTTTACAGCAGGCCGTTTGCTGCGGTAATATCACATCTATTATTTATATATTTTATTAATATATCCATTTAAAATTCCTTCAGTTTGTCTAGCTGTTTGATAATATCTGTCCAGCCCATTGTCCCTCCTTAACTTCAAACTTTCAGATCTGATTCTACCATATGTAAACCATAAATCCTTCAAAGGGACAAAAAATACCTCAAAGTCCATGCATCTGTGCCAATCAGATTTGGCATTAGACATTCTGATTGTCCTCCGAAAACCATCATCCATCCATTTCTCCGTCTCTGTCTCTCTTTTTCTCTGGCTCTGTTCGGCTGGACGTCCGAGTGTGTGAGATGCCAAAAGAGTGGTAGGTGAGTGGGGGAGGAGGAAGAGAGGAGGGTCCTTTAAAACCTCTGAGTGTTTGATGGTGGTACGAGAAGGCAAAAGAATGTGGGTGGCAAGAAGCGTTGGGTTTCCTGGCCCTTTCACCCCCGTCGACTCATAAATCCCTCTCAGATCAGCGGCAAAATCTTTGAAAAAAGATATACAAAATGATCAGATATGCAGCATTTACATCACAAACATTAGTTTGTAACACACAGTGTCTCTTGTACTTTCAAATGTGGATTTTTCAGAATCGACGTGGCAGAATTTTGACTCCTGGAAGAGCTGAAAAGAGGGAGAGGGAGAGAAAGAGGTGGAGCTTTTTTCCTTTTTCCCCCCGCCTTAAGTTTATGTTTCTTTTCTCGTTAAACAGGAAGTGAGAGGTCAGAGGTCACAAAAGAGTAATACGAGGAAAGCTGGTACTGATGAAGACCTGTCAGAATCAGCGTTTGCTTTGAGATGTAATTCTGACATCTGTGTATGTTTATGTGTGTGTGTGTGGGGGGGTGGGTGGTGTTGCTGACTGAGTTTCTTGGCATGGAGACGGAATTGTAATATCTCCAGATGTGTAGTCATGTGGTCTGTACCTCTCTTCATGCTGCTATTTATTCTGAAGCTCACTTCCTCTGCTCGTACTGAATAAAGGTCTCTTTATACTGGCTTACGGCCCCCCTAACGATCACACACACACATATTCAAGTTTTAAAACATGCCTGTAGACGAGGTGCTTCAGAAGTTAGTTTACATCAGGGCTGAAGTTCACGCTCACCGCAGAATGTTCCTCTGAAATGCAGGAGGGTTCTTATTAAATGTGGAGAAGGTGACATAGTGGTGACCTATAAACAAGAGGCATTAATCATCCTCACGCCGTTTGATCCGTCCTTGGGCTCCCCTTACATTGGTTTTTGTGGACATTAATCTCAGTTCGGGTGGAAAGTTTATTGTCACAAGACGACACCGTCTGCTCGGTCAGCGGTTCTGAAGCCTTGTGTTTGAAAATCAATCTGAATTTCCGTGGTTCTTAAAAGAATGTTCTGGGTTCAAGATAGGGTCAGCTCTATCGACAGCATCTTTGCCATGCTGCCGATTACCACAGATAATAATTCAGACTTTTTCAATAGTTTGTAAAAACAAGCAAAAATTTATTTACAGCAATGCAGTTACAGTAGAAGACTATGACTAGTCTAGAAGCTATGACTTCAAAATTATATATGTTAACATGAGACTAGTGTGATAAAGTCACTTAGTGACTGTCTTTTGACTACTCTCTTGACCATTTAAAGCCGGTAATCAATAAGCTAATCAAGGTCTAAGGGTTACTAAAAAGCAGCAGGCAGGTGAGCAAGGTTGGAGCAAAACTCTGCAAGACTGTGGTTCTCCAAGACTGACGCTGGCCACCCCTGCCTTAGCGTCTTCATGAAATGTCTGTAGCATACTTTGGTTAAAATTCCTCAATTGTTGTGTAAAACAACACCTTTTTTATCTCGTCAAAAACAGCTCTGTTCACAGCGAGCCGTTTCGTTGCATGACTCTTTAAATGATAATGAGCTACTGCTCACCCACCCCTCTCTTCCGTGGGGAGTGTCGACACAGAGGCACGTGAAGTGCTGTTTTGGACTCCGTATATAGCTCAGAGGTGGTCTTATTCAAATAATTAGCTAGAAACCGGCTGAAAATTGAAACAGCTCACTGGATGACACTGGATGACTCAGACAGCCCATAACAAACTGGCTGCATGTTTTGTTTTCAGCTTTTCTGAGCTGGCAGACACGCCAGAAACCTAACTAAATGCAAAAAAAAAAAAAAGCTAAAAAAGTGACATTTTCATCCGATGTCCCCTTCAGATCAGTGGTTCTCAACCAGGGTGCTGGTACCCACTAGAGGGCCTCACAATCTTCCATTGGGCATGGACGATGACTTAAATGGATAGTTCACCCAAAAATGAAAATTTTGTCATTAATTACTTACCCTCATGTTGTTCCAAACCCGTAAGACCTCCTTTCATCTTCGGAACACAAATTAAGATATTTTTGATGGAATCTGAGAGCTCTCTGACCCTCCCATAGACAGCAAGGGTCCTTACACCATCAAGGCCCTCTAGCTTTGTAAAATTACGATTGAACCCCTGATCTCACATGGATTATTTGACCGATCTCCTTGCTACGTTTCTGGACCTTGATGGTGTAAGGACCCTTGCTGTCTATGGGAGGGTCAGAGAGCTCTCAGATTCCTTAAAAAATATCTTAATTTGTGTTCCGAAGATGAACGGAGGTCTTACGGGTTTGGAACGACATGAGGGTGAGTAAATAATGACAGTATTTTCATTTTTGGGTGAACTATCCCTTTAAATTATTTTAATTTATATATTGCATTAATAAAAAAAATATAGTAACATTTAACAATAATGTATCATTTGTTAACAATGTGAATTGCAACATTTACTAACACATTAATAAATTCAAAAGTTTTATCTGGTGATATTATTTAATGGATCTGAGCTAATGTGAACTAATAATGCACAGTTGTACTTTTACTAACTAACGTAAACAAAGATTATTAGATAGTGTAACAATTTATTAGTATTGCTCTTTGTTAGTTAATATTAGTTAATGCATTAACTATGGTACCTTTTTGTAAACTGTTATATATTAATATTATTATTAATATATTAAAATATTCTAAATTAAAATGCAATATGAAATTTTTTTTTTTTTTTTTACTTTTTTACTTTTTATTTATTTATTTTTTGGAAACATACAGTTCTTGAAATTTCTTGAATCATGAAATGAATTGTGGTTAATTAATATATCAACACTTCCAGTTCGTAAGAAAGTTGGAAGAACTAACAGCTTTGTCAATTACAGCTGGAATACCAGAGGAAATTTCGTACCCTATATTTGAGTTACATATTTGTAAGTGTTTTATATTTGTGTATATTTATAGTATTTATGTTTTTGAATTAATAACCCTGATACAGTCATCTTTATGATTTAAAGTTTAGTGCCCATCTGCCAAAAACGCCCAATGATCATTCACTGAAAACCAAATACATCAGCTCTGTTCCTGGATTCTACATGCAGAGATTACTACATGCACTGTGATTTTTTGAAACTGTGCATGTGATTCAACGTTTTTGTTTCCCCAGACTTGGGAGTCTCTCTAAAGTCTGTTATTTCTGGATAGCATGCAGTGGAGGAAAATTATCATAAATTACAGGGTAAATTATTGAACCAAAGAATATGAATGCTGGTCTAAGAAAGGCACTTAATTTTTCTTTTCTTTTTTTTTTCGGGGGGGGGGGGGGCATTTGAGAAAAGATCACATAAAAAAAGAGAGATGGGCATTTAGCACCTTGCATGCAGTATTGGAGACATTAACTACAAGTTACTGATAATTGAAAGTAGTTAAACAACAGTAAAGCTACCCTTTTAAAAGAAAGTGATTAATATCACTACAAGCTAGCAAGAACAAGTTGCTAACGACAATGAAGTTATTTAAAAGGACAATTTAAAAAAAATCAGATTACTGTCTGAACGAAGTGATTCCCTAAACCCGCTGTCTTTTTATGTATTTTATTATTACCTTAGGCCATTCAGATGCAAATATATATAAAACATGTATTTAAAAAACAGCTATATTGTCACGAGAGGACTCAGGGGCTGGAGCCGACACTGGAGCGGACTCATGGGTTGGGATGAAGGCGGAGAACAGTCTCTTTTTTCCTCCTCCTCCTCCTTTGGTTAGGGTTAAAGGGAGCGGCCGATGGGCCTGACTTCGGAACGGCCGGCGGGCTTGAGAATGGAGTGGCCGGCGGCCTCGAATTCCGAGCAGCCGGCGGGCTTGACTGCGGGCTAATTCTGGACATAGACTGTATAAAAACATGGACATAGTGTCTGTGACATCACCCGTAGGTTTCTAAAGAGCGGTTTTGAAGCTCAAAGTGGGCAGAGCCGGCCGTCGCCATCCTGGCACTGCACGTCACTCCCGGATAATTGAAAATGGGCAAAGAGGCGGGAGCTGGATGCTGAAACCACGCCCACCTAGTTTGTCGCCGGTGACAGCATCAGGGATCGGGGCCGGACGCTCTCCAGACACCGGAGGATCCCTTCCCTCCAGCTTAGTCCTGTGGTGTCTGGGAGGTCAACGGGGTGGTAGTAATTTGCCCCGATCCAGAACAGCGAGTTGATGGTGGCGTCATCTAACGCCGCAGTCACGGCGATCCCGCAGAAATCCCGGGCGAACTCTATGAATGGGAGATCTCTGCGGGATAGGGCGGAAAACTTTGCGGCGACCTCCATGGCCGCGGGGAGAAATAGGAAAGACTTTCAATAAACGGAAAAAAAAAAAACGGGGAGAAGGGGCGCCACTTACTCTATTGTTTGGGTCCGGTATTCTGTCACAATAATGCTACTGTGGAGGAGACGAAGGAGCGTGGAGACAAAGGAGATTCAGAGTTCATCACAGTCTTTATTAAATCCAAATAAATACACACATGGAACTGGCAGGAACACACACATAGCATTGGGGTTAGATGTACAATACCGGACGCTAGACATGGAAAGACACAGGGCTTAAGTAATGGGACTAATCAAGGAAATTAACGGGAACCAGCTGAAACGAACATAATTGACACGAGGGAAAAACTAGGTAATGGGGAGAACATGGGGAGAAAAACACAAGACACGGGAACACAGGACTGACATACATAGTGCTTGTCACACTACATCACTACTCATTGCCAAATGTTGCTTATTTCTGTGAAAGCTACACTATACAGCTACTGCATACCTACTGAAAAATGTAGTTAAGCTGGGTTATCAGTGAAAAATGTTCTTTACATTTTATACATTTTCATGTTTGTTTTTACACCACAATTAGTGTAGACACCATTTTATTTGCCACAACAAATCTGCAACACAATATGAATAAATTCACAATTGTTAAGTACAACTGATATTCGGATAATTTTGTGTTGATGCTGAAGTGCATTCCTCTGGTGGTTTGTAAGTAGGTTACTCTTCTAATATGTGGATGCTTCACACTGTTAACATGCAAGTGTTTTCATCTTTACTCCCTCTCCTCCTCCTACACACTTCGTGTAATCTCTCTACTCTCACTTTTATATTCAAAAGAAATAAGCATCAATCAGAATGACAAATCACCCTTTTTCTCTTCCCTTTAGGTTTTTGAGGAAAACACATACTTTAATATTTAAGCAGAGTTTAATTCAGTTTATACAGGATTTCCATCTCTAGCTTGTGTGTTGCTGATTAAGTGTGTGAGTCATAAAGCATGATACTCAGTG